CGCTAGCCTCAGATATGATGCTGACATTCCACACTTGCTTTTGACTTCACCAAAAGAAGACAGATTGACCGACTGGCTTTCTGTAGTTTTTCATTCACCTAGAATAATTACCTATATGGGTAACTGTTATTTGCGTATGAGACAGGAATTATGAGTTTGTTCTTTCTTAACTGTTTGTGGATCCATATTGATTGCTATGCTGATATAAGGATTGTTCAAATGAAAACTAAACGTTTTACCATCATTTTCTATTTCACTGTCATTCGGCTTTTTTCATTTAGTATGGATTGATTAGCCGCATTAAATGCTTAGATACATCACAATGAAGGGTATTCCCAAGATCAAATACTGGTCTTACTGGTGTAACGTGGTTTATGTACCTTTACAATATCATATATTTTGCTGTCATTATTCGTTTATAGGTGTCAAATCAAGCTATTCGGACTCACCTAGTGATGGCTTCAGTAGTCCTGTTGAACTTTTCATAATCACATTCATCACCGTATCTACTAGCTTCTTAATTCCTTCTGTCTGTCTGTTTTCGACATAGAACTTTGCACAAATGTGCGGAAGTTCAAGTCGCCACACTCCGTGTAGCACGCGAAGCAAGAGAAGAAAGTACAAGAAAAGCATAATAGAGACAGTGAGCAGAGGTGTGAGACAAAGGAGGAGTAATAACGAAGAACACAACAGTTTCATTGGTGGAGATCATAAGTCACAAGGAGTGGATGCATCTGCGCCGGCCACTGAGAACGATTTTGAGCCATGTTACCAATTGTTTCCAACCATAGATTTTTACCGTCCCGAGGACCCCAACCAGCCAGGAAGTCTACACCTTCCTACGTGGCTAGCTTAGACTTACTGTTGTGGATTTCATTGACTGGTGCCAAGTTTTTGTTTGACCGCCGCTAGCTTTTTTCCAGCCTGACCCTATATCCGCTAACATTGCTCGTCGAGGGAAGCGATGACTTGGCATACGTAACACATGTCCTAACCATCTCAGTCTTTGTAACTTCACAACCTCGTCGAGTGGTTTCCCCTGTTTACCTAGCACTCGACGCCTAACTTCAATGTTGCTCACCTTATTATGCCACTTTACACGGGAAATAGAGCGCAGGCACCTATGATCAAAGACAGCTAGTCTTTTCATGTCTTCCACTCTCAGTGGCCAGGTCTCACAATAACAGAGTGGAGAATGACGGTCAACTCTCTATATTGACTTTATTACTTCAAATGCCTTTGAAAGCGTCAGCAGTGAGGTAATATGGCGACTACTCCAACACTACAGAGTGTTATGCCACAAACATTCACGGACTTCATTCAGCAGTTATATAATGCCACATGCCGTGTAACTCATGACGGAAGGATAAGCAAAGCCTTTGGAGTGGAGATAGGACGAAGGTAGGACGAAGCTGCCTACTATCACCAATGATCTTCCCGATTGTGGTGAATCGAATGTTACGGCAGACCGTGAGGAGTGAGAAGATGGGCATCCCGTGCACCGACAAATTACCGTAGACGTTCTGGATCTCGCGGATGGTCTGTGTGTCATGTCGCACAAACTTGAGGATATATAAGCGAAAGTCAACAAGTTGGCAGAGGCGTTAGAGGACACAGGATTTCACGTTAACCTAGGGAAAACAGAGGTGATGAAAATATCCAATCACCAGCAACAAACATCAACAGATGGAGGGGTCTAAAAGAATTCGTCTCTTACATACCTTCATCGGAAAGGTCGTTTCAACTACATACGTGCGACAGGGATGTGGATGTCAAAGCCAAGCAGAATCAGATCGGGAAAGCATCACAGGCGTTCACCACTCTTAATTCAGCTGGAAGATCTATGGCGCTTAGCACAAGGAACAAGGTCCAAATCTCCGTTACTAATATCAAATCAGTGCTGCAATGTGGTTCACAGACTTGACGTCTCATTAAAAGTATTTCCAACAGGCTGCAGACAATCATCAACACCTATCTCCGCTAGATACTGGAGATCAGATGGTTAGCGAGGACGGATAGGCAACAAGGAAATCTCATAAAGAACCAGCTCAGAATATTTTGTTCAGCAAACTTCTACTGATGGAGGAAAATTATTCGTGAGGCATTTTGCTGCGGCTACTGTGAAGACAAGTGAGGAAGTCATTATGGAGTTAAATAAGAGTCTAGTGCTTACTATCAAAAAAATATTCCTTCCTTCTTGCCCTGAAAAATGTGTTTAATTATTCCAGGGCATCACCATCATCGATTTAAGTGAGAACCTTAGCATTTGTACCAACGTTAAAAGTTAATGAGCTGAATACAAAATTCCAATTTGACAATGCAATCAAGATTTAGTCCCAGTCACCTGAGAGGATATAGACCATTTCGAATCAACTGTTTTAAACTAGCGTCTTGATTACATAAATAAAGAACCGAGCGTTCGCAAATTTGTGTCCAAAGAACATCGAAATCAGTTGAGTGAATTAAAAAGGATGAAAACTTGGTTATGATACACCAGGATAGACCTTTTGGAGTATCAGCACTCAGCAAATCAGACTATTTTGATAAACTCTCACTGATCTTATCCAATGACCAAATGGTCCAGCTGAACAGACTGACCTGTGAGAAAGATATTAAATAAGAAGAGAGGCGAATCATTCATTCGCGTGAAACTACATGAACACTTTCGTCCGGTTGGTTCTACAACACCGCGTACATACAGCTTACCTAAAATACAAAAACATGATATTCCACTGTTTATTACTGGATACGGTAAGTTCTCTGCATCACTCAGTCGCGAAGTGGTTGGTGGGGATTCTCGGAAAAGTGAAGGAGACGCCGAGACACAATCTCCGGGACACATTTCATCTTGTTGATTCAACTAAGAATATCACTCTGATAGATAACGTAATGATCTCCTTTGGCGTCCCTTCTTTCTTCGTTAACAATAATCACCCGTTTTTTATGTGATTCCATTCAACCTCTTGTGACCGATGATTGTATGCTGACTCACTACGTGGAAGAGCTCTAACTTTGATATCTCCTTGAGATTTGACAACGAAATCTACAGATAAGTAGTTGGTGTGGCAATGGGTTCTCCTTTAGGACCCTACCTGACTGTTTTATGGCAAGCCTGGAAAACAGCATCTTATCAGCACCAATGATTAAGCTGTACCTCTTGGAGACACATTGACGGCCCTTTCATTATTTGGAGAACTTGTTGCAAACCTTCATTAATGCCTATCCAAACAGCAGCTTCACTCTAGAAGCAGAATCGGACTCCATGTTCTACTTCCTCAACGTCCAACTACTCCTAAGAACTCACTGAGGAGATCGACTTACAAAAAGCCCACATGAGACAGACGATTAACCAATTTTCATATCTGTCTCTCTAGGCAGAAAGAGAAACCTATTGACAAAGAGGTCCACAATCACTGAAGAATCTGGGTGGGAAATGACCTCCCACCCACATTCACAGACAAGATCCCGAAACCAAAAAATCTGGCTGAACAGCTTTAGACTGCTCCCAAAAAGATTTCGCTGACAAATGTCGAGCCTCAAAATTATAATACTAAAGTGAAGAATCTCCAGAAACGACCTTCAAAATCTCTCAATAGAACCTGTCTTGATGCCAGCCTCTGAATAACATTCTCTTGTAAGAAATTATTTAGCTATTACGTGTAAGACAATCCGTCACATTGTGCAACTTCATGAATATTCCACTTCACTTGCTCCTGTGGAACTGAGCATATTGGTCGTACCACGCGTTTGCTTGTAAAACGTACCGGTGAACACTACTCAGCCTGGCTAGCAAAGGAAGAACATAAGTCTGTCTTAAATTTGATAACAGAACATCTTGTGAACTCATGACACTCAGCTCCATTCAATGAATTCCTCAAAGTCTCATACAAGATCCGATCAAATCTCTTAAAGGGATTAAGATCAAGACATCTGGGGGCAGGTGAAGCACTAGCGATCCAGAAATGTGAGCCAAACTCTCTGTATCCAAAAGAAGGACATTCAACCTGTCTTTGCGGTGATCATCATAACGAGTCTATAAAACCGCTGTTTAACTGTAACTTACATATCTTCATAGTAAAATCAGAACAAGGGAATGCTTTCTGAAGGAGCAGTTGTTTCTAATATCCTCTTTAGGCTCTACAGTTACAAATCCATGAATATTGCAATCCCTAGCCTATCATATACTCTGGTGGTGTTCTCGTGACTTTTTGTTGCCAGATCTACCAAGTAGCGTTGGATAGTACGCGACTTAATTGTTGTGTGCAAGATTCGAAGATGATTGATTGCATGCTACACGCATGCACCCCACCCTGATAATGTGTTGTCCAATTGTGCTTGTTATTCAAACTTTGTGTTTGATTTTGATTTTAATCCCTATTGGTATCACGCCACTTCATTTCGGTATTTGCTGCATTCTTCGCTTAAGCTGTCTCTTTATTTATTGTGTAACTATACAGATGTGATGCCTGAAATCAGTTATGCTGAACTGTTGTTGTATATATCCAGTTGCCTAGGAATTATAGGACGGAGAATGAGAATCAAATACAAGATCCAGTAGGTGAAATTCGACTGTTAAACTCAATGAACCACATGGATCATGAGTGAGAATAATTACGTGTCCGAGCATTTTGATCACAGACAATAAACGAACAGAATCACCGACAATACACAGAATGTGTTAAACGCCTGAAAGTGACTTTACTTGATGTTAAGAACAATTGATTCAAAATGCTATTGTGTTATTTTTTAATTAATAAATAAATAATAATTTTTCCTTCACGTTCCCAGTGGAACATAGGGCTCCAAGCTAGTGGCTTGAAGTTTCTGTAGCAGTGTTTAATTTTTACAGGATGGGGTTGCTAGCCTCATGCCCAAACTTTCCTCTTTACCAGCATTATTTCTGGCTCAGTGAGGTAAAGGAGTGCGCCGGCCGGGGATCGAACCCCGGACCATATGCATGGTCGGCGAGTGTTCTAACCGCTATACCACCGACGCACCCAATTGTGTTATTTAGGTGAATATTAATTACGCAAAGCACAAAAATGTATTCAATATCAGTAAGATCAAATGAACTAACAATGAAATTTGATATTATTTTACAAAATGGTAAAATATATTCAAGACTTTAAATCAATACATCGATTATCTTTTTTTACAGTCATCGATAGCAGAAGAGTTAAATAACCTACACGTAGATGAGATAAATCAAAACCTTTAAACAAATTATATGACAAGCGCAAGTTAAAAAAACGAGATTTGCCCAAGTAAAACCATGTATCTGAATACACAATTCACAAATCACAGCTTTGTGTGCAGACTAAACGATAATATTATGTAAAGTAGAGAGGGGAAGGAATGCAAAAATAGGTGTTTCACCAAGATAATTTCTGAAAGGTAACTGTCTTTTTATGATAACACAGAAACAAAAGTAATTGGGAGAGAGATATGTGACCCAAAAATGACATTATACAAGAAAAGGAAAGAAAACGTGTACAGACTATCTTTCTAACTGGCCAACGGTTGTAAAGATTGCCGTCTTTACCATTTTCACTGCTTCACCAGCTTCATTAATAAAGAGTCTATCTTTCATACCGAGAGATGATTGGTCATCTAGTTTTAACATATCACTTTCATCGCGAGGACAGTAATGGAATGTAATACATTCGGGGAAACGACGATTAGATGTAATTCTTACAATAAGAGACAAAGGAATAGATCGGTAAACAACTGCATGCCTAGGAAGGTTCGTAATCGATTTTTGAACGGTCGAATCTTGACAAGCTTTAGAGTTCTTTTTGTTAAAAACAGACTGTAAAGTACTACTAAGAGAGTTAATAAGTTGATTTGAAAGCCCAGGTGTTGAATGACGCAATAAGACTAGATGACGTTCTGCTAAAACAAGTAGCCCATGGTCGCCTAGTTGACCATTGTTCTTAAGAAACTGAGTATTAAAGACCCCCCTCACTTCTGGTCGTCTAGACCATTGTGTAGTATCTATAAGGTCACCAGCTTCACAACTATCCATGCCACCAATGCGACAGGGGAAATCTCCCTCCATAGCAGGTGAAACCTGAGCAGATGACTTAACAAAACGTTTTAACCAAGTTGATTGTCCAGAGGATGCATCATTTTTTAACACACTCTCAGTGCTCGTCGGTGTTTTCCCAGTATTCTCAGTCTCGTCTTCACACACTTCATCCTCATCGAAGTCATCGTCAATACTGAATACAGACGATGTATTTCTGTAAGCAACAGATTTCTTCGTGTCCTTTTCTCGAACAGGTTGGTTCGCAATAGTCATTTGTGTGTTAAGTGTTTTCTTTTGCATAGGACTTACATTAGACACACCTGGAAGTTTGAGCAGCTTTGGTACTTGATCCAAGCTACGACCAGTGCTTAAAATAGCAGATGAAAATTTAGAGAACAAACCAACACTTGGAGAATTACTCATCTGTGCTTTAGCTTTATCGTGTAATAAGGGTGATGACTCTATTTTACTATCTGAAGGAACCGATGGTGAGATAAAACTCTTTTTATCAATGCATCCTAAACATATTGTAGGCTCATGACCAATTAAACTTCTTCCTACTTCATAAGCACCTAACACTTCATGCAAGGCAGCATATCCACCTTCAATCAAGCTGATATACGGTGTATTCTGACGAAGAAATTCAGCTACAACCATATTAGCTAACTGATCATCCTCTGCCCTGCCACTACTTAGGAATGTGATATGTTTCCCAACAGCATATGATCCAGCAGCAAGTGATCGTTCTTGAGTAGATAATAAAATCTGTTGGAGAAAAAAAGAGAGGACATATGTAATATAATATGATAGTTGTTAAATACCATCTTTGATTTTACAGTTCAAATTTACAAAGCAAAAAACTAGTCACGAAACCTATTTTTTGCCGGTATATGGTGAGATCTATCACTCATTCAAGATCCGAGATCTAATTCGAGCGATGCAATCATCAATTGGATATACAAGGTATTTTATAAGTGCACTGCATTTTTGGAGAGTATCACTGGTTATTTTACAAAAATGGCTTTATACACGTTTCACAGAACACCTTCAGAAATAACTAACAATACGTCTAATGGGTGGTAGTACCACTTAAAACTACCAAAAGCGATCTAGGAGTGCTTATTTGCCTATTTGGTGCAATATTACTTTACCATAACTTCCGGTCAGCATAAACACGATATCCTGTTGAACACTTTACTTATTCGCAAACTTATATTGTCGACTTTATGTCATCTTGGTATGAGTGTTTTTTGAAGACATAAGATTGAATATCACTGCAAGGTCAATCCTTATTTTATTCTCATAAACGTCACCGTCATAATAAAGAATAAAATTCGTATTTTCGGTAAGAAAGTTTGTGTCTAATTATATACACTAATTGCGTTTTAATCAAGATGACAGGTGTCACCCTAGTAATTAATGATTTTTATACGGCAACTTATTTTCTAAATATTTAGTCAAGATTGACGGAACCATTACATGATTACTTAATTTTTCCTGCCTCGCTTCACGGGTATATTGTGATGATACAGTGAAACAAAGCATGGCAAAATTTCATGGAAATACTGACTATTGGTTTGAGAGACGGAAGTAACTCAAAATTGATAAACACATCCCTGAACACCTCTGGAGTCATTCTACCGGATCCTACAACTTCAACTAGCTTCAGATTAGAGACAGCATTTTTAACCTCAGTTACAGATGGAAGACTGGTGACTGCATCCCGCTGTGGTAGGTGTTGGATGCTAGGTAAATTTAGCGCGGCTATAGGCCAGCTGAGCTCAAATACCTGTCTGGTGTTTCCTATCACTGATTCCTTTTCCATCTTTTTTTCCGCTTTTGTCATCGCGGTCGTCACAAAGACTTATCGTCAGTTTGCGTCTGAGCTGCTTCCCCTCCCCATCATGTTCATATCCCGCCGGAATCCGTCTTCCTGCACCCATCAATTCGAACGAAGCAACAGGAATTCACTGATGTTTTCTAACCTTTTTTAGGCTTTTAACAACCTTGACAATTGTGTGTACAGCTGACTGCATATTCTGTCAGGCTTTCTTGAGATGAGTCTTGCTGTCAATCTCAGATACACGTTTAGCTATTTATTCACTAAGTGGGGATTCAGTGTCAAGTCGTGGAAGTAACGGCTTCATTGTTATGCTTTTTATTTCCGTTCAGTCGTAAGCAAAAACGTGCATGGACTAGGGCGTTGTTAGAGTCTACCCACATACTGCAGAAAGAGCAAGTCTTCTACAGACCTTCACCAAAGACAGTTTATCAAGATGTGGTTTATTTGAGTCCATCGTTGATTTTACGATGTGGATCGCCAGATCAGACAGTGTCCCTCATTGTTTTGTTTTGGCATTTGCCAAATTACGCCATCTCCGGCATACACATGATATCCAGCTATCGAACAAAGGACGTATGTACTGCTTAGCAGTTCGCCTCGTCTTCCTTTATGGCTGTGAGACATGGCCATTGAAAGTGAAAGACATCGAAGGGTTGGCTAGCTGTCTTTGATCACAAGTGTCTGCGTTCTATCTAAAAAATTAGGTGGTACAAAAGGGTGAGTAACATTCAGGTTAAATAAGTATGGTAAGGAGTGAAAATCAATCGATGAGGTCGTGAAGCTACATCGATTTAGATGGGTAGGAAATCTGTTGAGCATGCCTGCCAACGCCTCAGACGAGCAACCGAGACCTGGAGTCAGTCCATTAATTCTTTGACAGTAGGATTGAGCTGCCCACTTTAGGAGGTGTAGACTGCCTGGTTGGGATCTGGAATTCTAAGAACCAATGACTGAAGACAATTGGTGATATGGCTGAAAATCGTTCTCAGTGGCGCAGATGCATTCACCCTTCCGTGATGTGCCACATTCAATAAAACTCTCATGGTTTTTCATGTTACTGTTTTTTCACCCTCATTATCATATTTCTGCTTATTGTCATTCCTTCGATTCTCTTTTTTCTCTTTTGTCTTCCTTTGTGTGCTGCATGGAGTGTGTCGAAGTGGAGTTCTGCACTTCTGTGAAAGGCTCTATATTGAAATCAGTCGGCCAGTAATGATGTACGATGGAAACTTGTCCTACAAACCTCAAAATTACATTACATTTTATAAAGCACCTGTTGTTTTTTGTGATGAAATGTAAATAATGAACTACAACCAGTGAAGCAGTCTACATATGCAAGTGAATACACCACCGGTCATATTAAATTCATATCATCGATATAGCAGAATGTGTTTTACGACTTATTTCGAAAAAAATATTGGTGTCCAAAGAAAGAGATACGGAAGCAAAACAAGAAAGGATAATATACAAAAAAGGAATAGTCTTTAGAAAGGACAGGAATCATTCTCAAACCACTGACTGAATTAGCCGATAACCTACTTCTGCTAACAATATTGCAAAATATGTAGCAACTAAATCCATCTTTTAAATGATGAGGATGTATCGCAATGCTATGTTGACTATGCATACATTACACAAAATGACTTACAAGCATGTCTGTCTTTATTTACCACAAATACAAAGAAAAAACCTATTGGCATTGATCTTAATCGAAACCAACCTTAACCGCATTTTGGAACTTTAAGGGCTCAGACATAATCAAAGATGAATCCAGGAAAAAAGCAGTTGGTAAGTGCCCAGCATTATATTGTTCGGCGGGACGGCAATCAACAAGAAGATAACGTAGGTCAGACGTTTCATCTGCTAGTGTAATTGAAGAATTACTAACACCATACTCTTGTAAGTACATTGACTGAGCGTCCAAAACTTCTTGAATAGTAATCGACATACACAGAGATTCAGATAATACTCTGCGTTCCGATTCAAGCTGAGCGTTGCCAAAAAGTACAGGAAGATAACGAGACCGGAAAGAAACAGGTGTATTATTAATGAAAACTTCGGTAAGGTCTATAAGACTTGTCAAATCACTAACACGCATTGGTTTGGGGAGATCGATTAACTTTTGCTTCACTTTTTCTAAAATAAATGGAAAAATCATTTAAAAACTTACGATCAGTCATTTCTATCGAAATATGGACATTTCCATCAAAATAATTTATGCAAACGTCACAATATTTATGTTTAATTTAAAATACCTTCAAACTTTTAAATATATTTGATAGAAAGAATATTTGAAAAAAATGTAAAGCTACAAAACACTTTTATTTTGTATTCCTACAATTTATTTCTAACATGCCTACTACTCATACATATAAATTAATACAACTTTGTATATTTATGAAAATATTTCATTGCATGGAGGATTTTTTTACTTTACTTCGGCTATCTCCTACGGGAGGATGAGCCGGCTTCATGAACGAGTTCATGAAGTTTCTTGGGAATTTGGTACGAGTGATGTCCCCAGCATCGCTCGGCCTTTTGTTTGAGAGTGCAGCTCTAGCCTTTACACAGCCAAGTGTGACCTACAAGGCAGTAGGAGTGGAGTAGGGAGCCCACTATCCATTGGCAGCCGGTGACCGGAGTTCGGTTCATACGCCTTTTTGAATGGGGCCAGACATCCAGGACATCCAACAAGCCCTTTGTCCATACGTCTGCCGGTGAGCTCCGGTGAGCTTCATACGCCAGTCGTTGAAGGTTTGGAATCAGGGTTTAGCCATCTCCTCTAGACTGTCATCCAATGGACAGTCAACCCGGTGGAGAGCGCCGGGCATCCGCTTTTGCCCTCTCGCTTTAGTGAGAAACACCTCCGCCACGTGAAGGCAGTGAGTAGGACTTCCTCAGGAGAGGCTATGTAAGACGCACGGTCATATGGGAGCATTTCAAGAGGTGTGCGGAGGGGTGGCCAACCCGCAGCGCAAGACACCCACCCCCGACCATCCTGAGGCTTTGGAGGATTTAATCATGAGCTGACACCAGAAGGTCCCGGGTTCGAACCCCGGTGGCTGTGTACTGCTGAGGAGTCCCAAACTAGGACGAAACAGCTGTCCAGTACTCCCATGTTCTCCAGTGGTTCTCTAACTGATGTCAGCTCATGATTAAATCCTCCATGCAATCAAACGAAATCCCTACAAAACCAATACTTGAAAATATTTTAGTTTATTCTTGGCAATACCTGAAACCCCACTAATTATCCTAGCTTTCTTACACCTTAAAGATATATGCCTGGTTAATTTTCTCATTTCCACATAAAAGTAAATCCAATACTGACCAGAAAGTAATCTTCATATGCAGAAACTGCCAACTATACACAAAGCCGAGTAATAAGAAGCACTATTCTGTCGAAACACATTTGTCTGTCAAGTCTACATATTCATTCCAAAATATAAATTATGTTGTTACCATCCAAATAACAACATGTACATTCAAAACGGATTATGACATCAATTATTTCTTCCTAAAACACTATCAATGAATTCTGGAAGAACTGTTTTCATATTCAAAATACTCCTAAGGACTTTTAGTTTAAGAAATAGAACAATCAATGCCGCGAAGCTGGCCGCTGACGTAAACTATCGATTCATTCTATTACTGAAAATGTACACAACTGATGCTCGAACGTCAGTCGTGTGTAGTGACCTTCTCTCAGTAACACAATGCAATTTCATTTCGCATGTCCGTATGAGAAGATATATGTACAGACTTTGATGTATATTAAACTTTATAATCCTCAGCTTCAGAGTTATACATCTTGGTTACCTTAAACTCGTCACAAAGGTTTATTTCCTTGACAATACATTTTCTCATCCGTACAAGGCTTATCAAGCCGAAAACTCTCACCAACACAACCTGTTTCCTTTGATCCTTTCCAACTACTTAAATATGGGTTTCCATATGATCCCCACTAAGTTCTAAACCTAATTCAGAACAGCAGGAGTGGGTGTTAATTCGAATATTCATTTCTCTCTTAGCGAAGCCAGCATCAGATTCGTAAGGTTATACTAGTAAATATTAAACTAAGGCGAAATAACAACTAATTTGTATTTCCTGGGGATAATGAATTATCTGCTGATGTTTTTAATAAGAAACAAGGAAAAAATATTTGCTAGAGTTACATACTCAAAACTGAACTATTCAATAACTACTCTATGTGGTAGTATTGGTCACGTATATTGCAAAAAATAATGACAACAATGCATAGGTAAAATACTGTTCGGATTAGCTACAACAGTAGCAGGTTATTTTTCGATCTAATACTTTAAACAGAGAATTTCAAAGATTGAAGTTGCCACACCTAGTAACGGCGAAACAATTACCAACAAAAACTCAACAAGGCTAAGATATGCAAGAATAGTGGCATTTTTGAAAAAAATTAATGCTAATAAGGTGTCTAGGTATTACAGGGAAACAATAGGCAAATACAGCTATCTAACTGCAAGCAGTTGCCAGTAATGTCACCTTGATTCAGATAATTCTAATATCTCAGCTAGCAGATTTTCCGCGATACACAAATCCATATAAGTAACTTGATGAAGTGTTGGCTCAAATTTTGACTCTCGACTAATGCTTCTTTAATTCAAACTCTGAGTGCGATTGAATAGTATCAAACTCCGTAACTTCATAGCCTAGCATATAACAGCAAATTTGTACGGAATAAATTAATTGCATTACATCATATTTCCACAAGTCAACAAGAATAACACCAAAGTTTTCTTTATCTCCCCGGACACATTTTGTAATTCCTGTGAATAGAAACTAGCAGTAGCAGCAAACAAATAAACTTATTAACGACACATGCTTATCGTTCAAGTTGATCGTTGTAGCCATTAACAAATTTCTTAACCGCCAGGATAGACGGCTTGTAAGACTAATGGACAGACAGATTCTACAAGTTACAGATAATGTTTATTTAATTCATAAATTGAGTGATAAAAGATTAAAATTCAAGCAGCATACCGATGGAAACGCGATTACTGGTTGGAGACATTAAATTCTCTGCCTGTGACTCCTTCTGGTCACCTTTTGTTTTGTCCAAACATTGATCGAGTAGAAAAGCTTTAGCGTTTATAATGAGAAGCAAACCAATATAAAAACCAAGCAACGGATCTGACTTCAGAAAATATACATCCCATAATGACGGTATAACATCTTCCGATATATAATCGGCAAAAAGACTTGATATCCAAGGTATAAAGTAATCTTCAGGACTGATTTTTAATGAATCCAAAAAACTGCACAACTTAGGTTCATGGTACTGTAACAATAAACGGAAAATCATGCTTACGCACTGATCAACATTAACGCCTGTAGCAACAAAACGATGATAAAATGAAACGAAGCTCATGTAAAGTTCTGATCTATTGGTAGGTTTCAGGACAGTATATAATACTTTAATTACTGACACCCAACCATTCGAAGAACTATATTTGAGTGAATAAGTTTCGGCAAAATGTGTCAAAACAGATTCAAAGTCACTAGATATCTTGGCAGCTGGAGGAAGGAAAGAATTCAAGGATGATGCTTCTACGTCCAAGTCATCATTATCACTATTTATTGAAAGGTTGGAATGATTTTTGGCTTGAAGATTGTGCTCTTTAGTCAGACGTTGAAATAACTCAGCGGAGGCTAATTCGCAATCGTCATGAAGCTGTGATTGATTTTCCAATTCAAAAACGTCATTAAATTCAGCCATCGTTTGCGACTGTGTATCCAGCCTAAGACATATGCGCCAGACGTCAGGACGCAGGTTGTCAGGGACAGGTCGCATTTCACAAATTTCACGAATTCGAAAAATGTCAGCATCCTCTGAAAACATGAGAATAAAAAAGCCAAAATATGGATAATGCAGCATGTTGAAGTACCACTAATATCCCGTACCAGCAGTCATCCTCTTAAATTAGATATTCAGTGCATGTAAAAACTAGTAAAATCAACATACAACGCTAATGAATCGAAAAGTGGTACTATTAAAGTAACGTATATAAAAGACGGGAAAAAATATAGGGAAAGTATATTTTAGTAGCTGTCTTATGTCAGAAAAAATCCTGAATATTTGATAATTAGTTACTTTTTGTACTATAACCTGTGTGAGATATAAGCAAGTGAGTGGCGATGAGAAGTCGACTTCATGCATCTCAGAAGCCTTTGAATTTTAAAAAAGTACAGTTATTACCGACATTTTTAACTATTCTGAAAACATTAGAATTTTGGTGGTGGTCATAAAATACAAGGACTTGTCATCTTGACTGGCACCAAAATTAAGCCAATATTCACTAATAAATTTGTTGGGACAAAAGAAATTATTTACCTATAACAATATTGTTTTCAACTATGTTCTTATGACTACGAAACTGTACCGTACAGGATTCTAAAAATTATGATTATATGGTGATTCCCATTTCAACATAAAGACGAGTACACTAATATACATATACATATACAAGGCTTTGAGGTGCTAATCATTCTTGAGAGCGATAGATGGAGTCGAACCTCCACCTAACTCATAGAGAAAAAAGACTGACTGACGGTTTCAACATAGAACATTGCACCGATGTGCAGCAGTTCGAGTCGCCACACTTCAACCAGCACACAAAGCCAGAGAAGAAGAAACTGAAAAGAAATGCAAAACAGAGACAGTAGACAGAGATATGAGGCAAAAAGAATAGTAGTATTGAAGGACAATATAATCTCACTGGGTATTATAAGTCACAAGGAGTGTATGCATCTGCACAAGCCATTGAGAACGATTTTGAGCCATACCACCAATTGTCTCCAGCCATTAGTTTTAACCGTCCTGAGGACCCCAACCAGCCAAGAAGTTTACACCTGCCTACGTGGCTGGCTTAAACTAACTGTTGTGGATTTCATTGACTGATGGTTTGACCACCACTATCTTTCCCAACGTGACCCTATGTCAGTTGACTAACATTGCCCATTGTCGAGGGAGGCGATGGATGGCTAGGTATGCGTAACACATGTCTCAGTCGATGTAACTTCACAGCCTTGTCTGTTGATTTCCCCTCTTTACCTAGCACTCCACCTCAATATTGCTCAACTTATTATACCATTTCACACAGGAGATAGAACGCAGGCACCTATGATCAAAGACAGCCAGCCTGTCTTTTCATGTCTTCCACTCTCAATAGCCAGGTCTCTCTCACAGCCATAAAGCAGGATGGAGCGGACTGCTGAGCAGTATACACGTCCTTTGGTTGATAGCCGGATATTACGTCTACTAAGCTAGAGATAGCGTGAACTGGCATATGCGAAACTAGCCTTCTGTATCCGCCATGCTGAGATTTTGTCAGCGATCAACCCGTTGGCGTTGGCCGATGCATAAGTGAAGTGATGAACACGCTCCACAGACCACTTCACTCCCTATTTCTAAGCTGAGGGTCCATGTAGTCCAGGCTAGTCCTGTAGTGTAGCATCATACATTTGAAAGCACGAGTAAATGGCATGCCGAACACTTGCAGATTGCTGCCTGTCAAGGTGTTCAGAAGACTGCTAAATTTTGTCAGCGTCTTCCTCATCTAGGAGGGAGGACTATATCACCCTTACGCATATTCTAAGTCAACGAGATTATTCCCTGATGATAACAAATCAATCCCTGAGTCGCTGAAGTCACTTAGCGTGAATTCCATTATTACATCTATGATGAAATTGAATAGAAATGGGGATAGTGGGTATCCCTGTCGGACACCACTAGTTGTCACCACTCCAGATGACAACTCGCCATAAGCTCTCACCTGGTTGGCTGCATGAGTTCGAGTAGAGTGAGTGCCTTGATCAGTGCAATGTATTTCCTCGGCATTCCCTTTACAGTTAAACATCGCCAGAGTACCTCTCGGTCGACAGAACCGAATGCCGTCTTCAGGTGAAGAAATATAACGATTGTTGGACGCCGGTAAGTATGCCACCTGTGTTCCAGAATCTGTCAAAGGGTGAAGATATGATCAATACACCCTCATCCTGGTCTAAAGCCTGTCTGGTTCTCTCATGTTTGTTCCTCTCGTGGACCACCTAGTCCACGCACTATTATTGAGCCTAGAACTTCAGATACCATATTAGTCAAGTTAATCCCCCTGTGATAATCACAGAAAGACTTGTCTACCTTCACACACCATATGCAAGGCCAAAATATTAGAGTGAAGTAGGAAAGTCTATCACTTGGAGTGTTGCAAGATTAAGAACTACCAGTAAGCAATAAATTAATGGTGTTATCAAAGAGCACTAATGAGAATCAAGTTGGTGTAGTCCACCAATTGCATTTTGGTAATTGGTAGTGTATCCCAAAAATCAAAATCCACTCTACTATTAAGAAGTAAGGTTAATTACATTAAGTTACTCCAACCAGATTACTAGAAACAAGCTTCCCGTACACATCTAGAAACAAGTGAAACATCTTATTTAATGACATGCTTTCAGGAGTAGAATGCCGAAAACACAAAGTGAATGAGAAAAATATCAGAAAGATTACGGATATCACGATTCCCTACAATAAACCTAATGGGACAACATACATATTTTTCTGACTGGCGACCTCCAAAAATTCCATTGCTGAAATACTAGGTAAGTGACGGCCCCGGAGAAACAAATAGACAATGTGTATTTCACGAAATAATGCGAGTTCCTAGTTGCCACATATCCAACGTGTAAAGCTACATGGCTAACAAATAATTGTCTTAACTAAGTATTTTAACTAGGATTGCTGACCACAAAAACCAATACTTTTTTCGAGACTGAACTGCATTCGAAAATAGACTAGCCTCATTAAATTAACAGAATCCATATGCCTAGGGTTAACTTTCCCACAAAATTTCGATGTGCCTGATTATGTGCTGATTTTACACAGGATTTCATCTTGTCTTTCCATAAAAATAATGGGTATTTATATATGTGCTTGAAACTATCCTAACTTTTTTTTACTTTAAATGCTTATGTGCACCGCCCCTAGTTATAATTACGACAGGCCGATTAGCTTACTAATCTTCTGAGTAGTTGCCCCTGCCTAAATACGTCTCACAGTCTGGCGTGCCTGTTATGCAGCCACATTTCGTTAATGACTGGAAAAATTGATGCTCCTTCCATAAGCCATCCTACTAAGGTCACATGTTTTTTAAGACGAATTTGAGAGGCAGAGATCTAACAGACCTATATTTATGACCATATCTTAAGATAAATCCCTTGATCTTGGTGAAAAGACATCGAGAAAAAATACTGAACTGTTTTTTATTTGTCATTGCGACGAAAATAAACACGGACCTTAACCAGCATATAATGGGTTTAGACAATACGTAATTCCTTCGGCTCCATTATAAAGTGGTTATATCCAGAAAAAGAGCAATAATATCACGGTATATGTGCAGGGCTGTATCATAAATCTCTAGATCCCTAATTCCAATGATTTACTTTATAATCCAGACAGAATAAAGTAATGTACGTAGGTTTTTCTACTATTGTTCCACTAATAATCTATCCTTCATTGTCGAAACTAAAAGGATCACAGATTACTACAATAAAACATGACTACTTATGCATTAATGGTCCATTTACTCACAATAAAACGTGATGTGCCTCTCTCCTATTTGAACCTGATCAACCAAGTGTTAAAGCGCTGAAGAAAAGCAGTGGATTTAAGTTAAACACTATCAACGACTTAACTAACAATATGAATCGCATAGAATGGTTGATCTAGAAGTGTTCCATAGAGTGCACTTAAACAGGATAGCAGAGTAATATCAGCAGCAAGTGAAAAATACAATTATTACCTAGGAGTGCAATCTCAAGGTTTACTTTCCACGACTCATCAACCTCAGTCTCATCCGAAGAAACCGACATTTCAATGTAGCAAAAACGTTGAAAGTAGTGCCTCCATCCGATTTCAATGTCACATTTGCTATGAGAATCGAAGATTAAGAGCCTCTGTCAGAACTTTCTGAGGGAAAAGCTGTTTGCTTGTACAATTACGCTAATAATATTGATCGTACATCTCAGCTACGAGTCTTCAAAATCATATATAAGATGCTGTCCCCCAGTTCCTGTTCACCGAGTCCATCGAAGACCTAAAAAATCTATCACCTGTATTATATTACTAAGTATTTTCACATTAAATTGTCTTCATACAGGAAAATCAGTACTTTAAAATAAAAAATTTCTTTTGGCTTTTGTAATGAGTTAGAGCAACTCGGTAGGTAGAAAGACATATGGGATACTGCCTCCATATTTCACTTAGAATCCTGGATGTCAAGATGGAATAATCCTGGCAATACATGTGAGAAAACCCGTAAGATAAATAGCCCCCCCCCAAGTTTTCAGCTGTCATAAATCAACTCATTGGGTCAGCTTCCACTGTTTAAGTAGACTGATTGAGCGCTAGTTACGTGGACAAACTTCGTCCCAATTTTTCACACTTCCACATACGCAAGTACTCCCTGGTACATGGCCTTACTGGTCCCGAAACAAATTCACTGTTTAGGGTGGTGAAATTGGCGTTTTTTTAAGGGTTTCCAAATGTTCTCCGGTAATACCAAAATAAGTACGCTTGGGGTAGGGGATTACACTTAATAACTAGCACGTCATGGGATCTTACTTGCTTGCCAACATCATCCGACCTCTAAAAACGAAAGACATTCCGCCTTCGAGTCATTATCCTTATTAAGAATGAATATGGTTTAAGTAGCCTAGATAGTTCAGTGTCATTATGGTTGATTGATAGTACGCCTAATTCCGTCGTGCGTAACATCTTCCTGATATTTTTAGTGGGCATCACAATGTACTCAGTTAAATGGGAGCAAAATAACTACATACATGTATCACGAAAGAGTGTGGAAATTTTACGCAAGCGTTCGCGTTTTCTGTAAGTTATCGAATAACTTAGATAACAGAAAATCATCTTAGACCCTCTCTATCGCTATTTCTGTAGATCTCACCTACAACAAAAACCACCTCACCGAATGAGAGTCTCGGGTTGACTCTAAACGTCATACACCTGCCAACAGGGGCGTTTTGGTCCAAGTGGTTAGAAAAGGTCGTTTGTCAGAAATCACTAGCTTTACAAATTTAAAGTATTCAAAGTCCCTATAGAAAATCAGAAGGATCTTATGTGCAAACCACAGACATCTCAAATTCTACGAAGACTACAGAGAAATAAAACCAACCGATTACAAGGTAATGAATTTTAGGGAAGAAGTGTACTTATCGCCTTTCTGGACGATCAAATAAAAACACTTTGGGCTGCAGGTTAAACCATGAACAGTATAAACCATCTTTTATGAAGTGACAATTTCTCCTCAATAAGCATTATAAAAGCACACATATTCCGACAAGTTGGCGGCAATAACATTATTAGCATTAAATAACTTTTTCCAACACGAAAAACTGCACCGACAACTTCAGAAACTATGTTGGACTATGGAAATAATTGTATGCGGAACCACGCGAGACCCGGCCAAGTTAACTAGCTTCATACTTTTCGAGCCGGTCCAAAGCACAGGTAAAGAGAAAGGTCTGGGCGTGGGGCCAGTAACACCACACCACTAAATCTATCAAACCTGCAAAGAAACTTCAACGCAAAGAAAATGTATTCGAAATAAAACACTCTAAATAATAACAATCGTTGTAAATGTAGATGAACATTGAACGATCAATTCATGGTTGTTTGCTCAAAACCAACTTCTCCAATTTTCGCGGAGGCATCAATACACCAGTCATCGTCTCATCAGTCGCTGTTCAGAAAGAAGTCAGCAGTAAACCGTCAGAAGTAATATTGTGATTTATTATTGTAATATTTGTTCATAGAACTTAGTTTCAAAGCTGAATTTTAAAGTTGGCTTTATGTTGGTGTTACAATAAAGAATTCTCGAGTGGCCAATCGGTGTTTTGGTTTTTGCGTCCGTTATTACTAAGCGTTTGTGAGAAGCTTCGAGGAACAGCGTGAGTCCCAGCGTAGCAAGAGCTGGGCATTGACGGTTTACGAGACGTGGCCGACAATCGTATTCTTCGCTCTAATAGGAGAGGCGAAATGACGTGGGCTGGTGAAAGCCTTCAGGAAGCTAGTCAGCCAGCCGATGTGTCTTCTTTCTCTCGATGAAAGCAAGAATAAGAATGGATACGTGCAATTTCCGTACAATGTTTGACATTGACTGGGAAGGCTGCCCAGGTAGCCAAAGAAATGCGAATATATGGTCTAGAAGTGCTGGCTATCCGTGAGAGCAGATGGAATGGATGTGGACTGGCAACATTGTCAACTGGAAAGTCAATAATTTACTCCGATCATCCTGATGACAACGAAGAACACACTGAGGGAGTGGCTATAGTGATGCCACCAGTGGCAACCAGAGCCCTAATGCAGTAGGAACCAATCGTCTCATTCAGGATCATGACAGCAAGATTCAACTCCAAGGGAAGGAAGGTCACAATTATCCAATGTTACGCACAGTGCCCTAAACAACATGGAAGAAGACAAGAGGAAAGATTTTTACAGACAGCTACAAACAGTAATAGAAAACATCCCAAAGGGTGACATGAATGTAAGCAGAACTGGGAGCAGATAATACAAGAGGAGAACTCATCATGGATCGCGAGGTTCTCGGTCATAAACATGAATCAGAACGGAGAACTGTTCCCAGAATTCTGTGCTTTCAATGATTTTTTCATAGGAAGGGGCGTATACAAGCACAAGGATACACACAAAGCAGCAATGGTTTCGCTTAACGGACACAAGTCAGGTAGACTTCATCTTAGCGCTGCTCAAAGGAGTGAAGAGGCAGCCAGCCTGCTGGACACAAAGTCGAAAAGGGGAGCAGATGCGGGATAAGGCCATTATCTAGTTCAAGGAACCTTCAATGTGAAGCTGAAATCAATGAAAAAATGGAGACAGGCCACTGTAATACAAGTTCAACATTCAAAAACTGAAGGACAAAAATACAATAGATGCCTTCACTACAGATCTGATCAAAGCAAAGTCGGACACACTACATGCCATAATTGAGGAAACGTACGTGGAAGAACATTCGGACTAACTCTCTGAACGTGATATTCAAGGAAACGTGTACAACTGTTCTGGGAAGAGAGAAGGGACGAGACAAGGAATGACTGTCAACGAACACCTGCCTGTGAGCCAATTGAGGAGAGGAAAGTGGTGAATGGTAAAATGACTCAATGCAAGGATACACAACAGAAGGATAAGAAGCTGAGTTTAATGTACACTATACTGAATACAGGAGTGAAGGAGAGTGCTGGGAAAGACAGAGGGCGATTCTACGATGCACTGGCAACTGAAGCAGAACAGGTCGCAGGTGGAAGAGACCTCAGAACATTATGTCAGATAACCAGGTGTCTATCAGCGAAGAGATCAACTCAGATGATGGAACCAATAAAAGATGCCCAAAGGAACCTGGGGAGAAACGAATAAAACAATGGGCTGATCACCTTAAAGGACTCCTGAAACGACGATCACCTGAAAATCGCCCAGAAATACCACCACCACCAACAACAGCACGCACAGAACTGCGTGCCAGTGGACAACAATTCCACATCGAAAGCGAAAGAGCCACTGAACCTTGGCCAGGAAGGCAGCAGGGCCAGATAGAATGCCCCCGAAGCACTGGAAATGGAGCCAGAGGCTGACACAGATGTGCCCACGTCATAATTGTAAAAGGCTTGCGAAGAAGGCAAAGTACCTACCGACTGGAATAAAGGCTAACTCGTCAAAGTACCAAGGACGGACGACCCAAGACTCTGCAAGAACCGGCTTGGAATCATTCTCCTTTTCATGGCAAGTAAAATTCGAAGTCTCATCAACCAGGGGAGAATAAAAGGATGCAGAATTCCGCCCCTCATTGGACCAGGCTGGTTGGATTCAAAGAAGGCAAATCATGTGCTGATCTAGTTGCAACTCTTCGTGTCGTCATCTCGGAACAAAGCGAAGAATAGCAGTCTAGCCTCTACCTTAACTTCATCACCATCGAAACGGCCTTCTATGGCAATTCAGAAACTGCTTCGACACCACGATGTCAAGTGCCTAAATATTTATCAACCTCATTCACCAGCTGCTTGTATGACAGTTGCACGTATCAGTGGATCCACAGCGGAAGATTCAGAGAAGCGTTCGAAGTGCATGCAGGAGTAAGTGAAGGCTGCCCGCCTTCGATATTCCCAGCTGTGTTGGACTGAATTATGCGTCAGACAGAGTGGGAAGACAGAAATACACTGCACTGACCGATAAGAAGACCCTGGATTATCTGGATTTCACCAGTGCCTGTTAACTAAAACATATGTATTATTTATTCATGCTTGTGATTTCCCCCTGATGTATTTGAATTGAATTTTTGTGCCTCATTTTGGCATACGGGGCCCATGAACGGACGTCCGAATATTACCTTGGTTTTCAGCTTGTAGTTATTCCTCTGCTGGCAGCTGACGTTGCAATTCAAGGCAAAACGTCTCTTCCCTTTCAGGACTCGTCAGTTAATTGTACCTGCTTCCAAGTAAGTGATGGTGTTTTCATTGGGATTTGAACCCACCGCTTAAACTACTAGAGCATCATTCAGTCGGTTACCGAATTGTAGGATTCATTTCTTTGCGATGGGGTATAATTGGATACAAGTCAAATCTCGGTATGATAACCATCACGTACCAATAGACAGGTGCAATCACGCAACGAGCCTGAAACAGGAAGAAACACGTCTTGAAATCCAGCGCTAACCACTACCAAACAAAATGTCATTTGTTGACTGAGGAAATATTGACAACTGGTTGTTGGTCGTCCCTCAACATAAGCAACTAAAGGCAAGCATATACCCGGTAGCTGCATGTAGCAATACCGTTGTGTCTACAAGCTGGTTTTGTGCTTCGAATGTCAGATGTGATGAGATTGAA